ATATACAAAACCGTGCCACCTCCTTTTTGTTAGCCGCTTGGGTTTCACCATGATTCCTAGAGATCGGACAGATAAATAGGACTCTCATCTTTCTCTTTCCCCTCATCTGCCCCTGTCACATCCCTCATTTGATATGTGTTATGTCTGCAGAGGGGATGTCAGTCGTGCGCGATGGGAAATGAACAAACCTGCATGTATGAGAACCAGAGTGAGAGGAATAAATGCAGGGAAGGGATGAGAGCTGCAGGTGGAATTAGACTGTGGGGGACGCTGGGGACCTCACTCAGCCCTGTAACAACRGACAAACACAAAACAGAACTTTTTGCATTTTGTTACGTTTTGAAACACAAAAAATGGGATAACCAGCACTCCAAAAAATACTATTGTTTTAATAATGGCAGAAAACAGGACGTGTTTCGCCTACATGCCGTCGTCAACAATTTTTCTTACGTTTTGACCCATTTTTCTTACTTCAGATTCAAGAAMGCACACCAAAACTTAAATTAATTTGTTTGGAAACTGTCGTTCTTGCTTTCATAATCCTCCATTTTTTAATCTATTAAAAACAGCCTTTTATAAAGAGGACGTCTTTAAAAAACTCTTAAAATATTTAGCTTGTATTTCCCTGAGGCTCTGGGCACATGCTCACTGGAGCAACAATATTTGCTTTATTAGAAGAGGAGCATGACTGTAAGTTTTCCTTGGAGTCTTCCCTTCTAAAATATAAAGAGCTAAGGATTGACTTAGTCTGTTTTCCTCTGTGAAAAAACATCTAGCTGTGTGCAAGACAAACAGAAAACCCTGTTAAAAGCTGAGACAGCCCTGTCAGATCTGTCTGGTTGTGTACCTACACAGTCTAATGGTTTGTCTTTTTTTTTGTGCATGTGTGTGTTTGTTTGTTTACGTAGGTAGAATGTAAGAAGGCCCAGCCCAAGGAGGTGATGTTCCCACCAGGCACACGAGGGCGAGCCAGGGGTCTGCCCTACACCATGGATGCCTTCATGCTGGGGATGGGCATGCTGAGTGAGTTACGTTCAGATCTAAAGCCACAMAACAATGCATGTACTAGAAGCAGAGCTGCTTGACACTCTTATCAAGTAGCAGCTACTACATAGTTATTTTAAGAGTGACTGGTTTCCACCGGCTTTGGAATTTGCAGAAAGGTGTCAGACACCACACCGCTCGGGCATCAATTTCTACCTGCTACCAAAACAACCTGAGTAAACTCTTGTCTAGGAAGCCCCATTAGGTGGTTGCTGCCCCTAATTAGGTTGCTTCAAGATGTGCCGCCAGTGGCCACTGCGCTCTATTTCTGGTTGAGTCTGGTACAGGCAGCCCCTGGGCATATAGGAGCAGACCAGCACATTAGCAGGCTAAATGAAGAGGAAAATTGGTGTAATGTCATATTAAGGATTCATCACTGTGCCCCCCTTAATGGGTAATGAAGGGGACACACATGTCAGAGAGAGATCTCATCTACAGGGACCTCAACTGTTGGCCCACCCCTCTTCATTACCATCGAGCCCAAGCCTGTGTCCCTTTTTATTTAACACTATTGCACTCTCTGCCTCCCTGCCCCCGTCCTGCTCAACCCCCCCTCAATCCGGCTATCTATCKGTCTGTCTTGAATCCAGTCATCTATTTTGTCTCTCACATTCCATATGCATATCATTTGATTGTGTAGGGGAAAAAAACGAATGGAGTTGCAATCACTTTAAATGTATTTTTACATATAGAGAAAAAAACGCCTGATGGAAAAGTAAACCTATAAGATGCCACCATTTCGCATTTTTTTATTTACAAATATGGTCATGGTTAAAGCAGTTTTTTTTCCTTTTTTAGTGTTCTTTTATTGCCTAAATCACAGATTTAAAAGCATCACAAAACATACAATAGAATATAAATCAACACAGCAGCAGTAAACATAATCAGACATATAAACTACCTCATGAATGAGCAACAAAACAAATAAAYGCATTATGATTACAGCAGTAATATTCCATACCTGTATTAGCATATTGAGTCTATAGGGCAAACTAGTAAAAGCAATCAAATCTAATGAATAAGATGTATCCCGTTTTGCATTTAAATAAAGCTTATTCTATCATTTCTTTAAATTTTGTATTTGTTTCAAAATGTGTCAGCTAAAGTTTTGTACCTCTGTATCATGACATGCTGCCAACAATCCAATACTTTAAAAATAGAGCAAAAACTGGTATGATTCAAACAAATGCAGTTCTRTTTGAAATGAGTTTTGATTTAGCACAATGGGTTATATTTTTATCCATCCAAATGAAAGATTTGGTCATTTAATAAGACTAAACATTTAGTACCTAATTAAAAATAACCACAAGCAGGTTTTCTGTTAGGATAACTAAATATGTTCATAAAACTTGACTCAAAACACATAAAATGAAGCTTAGTGCAAGATTAAAAACTAACAGGCAGCAAATGTGTTTAACAAGTTTCAAGTAACTCAGCATCCAGTGGCAAATTCCATTATCTACATTGTGAACAATAAAGCATAAGTTAACCTTTTCACCAAAGAGTCTCTCATAACTGATTACACATTGGAAAAAAATAAACTCTTCCTGACATTCACCTGCTGCTGTAAACAATCACTGTCATAATAACCATTGAGACAGTAAAATATTTTATCTGTAATGAGAATTTAAAAACAGATGGAYGGAAGTCATTTAAAGTAAATTGTTGACCGATACTGAATGTGCACACAAATTTGCACTTTAGTCACACTGTATTCAAACCTCATGTTCAATTTGTTTTTTTAGGAATATGTGTTGATCCAGACGGTTAGGGTTAAACAAACTGTGCTGTGATGTAATTATGTCACCAAGGATGTTGAACACTGGCATAGGCAGTGTAGGCAAATGCTAAGGGGGCCGTCCATCTAGGGGGTGCCACAAATAAGAGATGAAAAAATAAAAAGTATAAGAGAGTATCATAGGATGCAGTCAAGAGTAACTACTGAATAAAAAACAAAATAAGGATATTGGAAGTCTGAGTTATGATCTCACATAAAGTTCAGGTTAACGTCTGGTTTTCAGTGTTTTACCATCATAAAATGATGATTTTCTGTTGCTTTATTAATCCAAAGAATTTAGTAAAATTMTCTTCAAATTGTGGGAAAATKCACCAGTAGTAGACACAAAAGTTACACTTTAGCTGAGCCAAATCCAAACGAAAACATGCCAGTGATGTGACAAAATGGGTAAAATAATGTGTTTTATCCCAAGTTTCTTAAATATAAAGATGTTCCCTTTGRCTTTTTGCATTTGAMRGAYATGCATGYYACAGGTGCTTCAGGAGTTTCTTATCCTTTTCTTAAGTTCCACCTATSAAGCAGCTTTCAACAAGACTTACACACATCTTGTATCTGCCTTTCTGTCCGTCCATTTATCTCATCATTTGTCTGCATAAAGTTACTTAAACTGTCAGGGTTATTGAAGGCTTGACCTTTCTGTGAGAGTGATTACACAATTGTTGGTGGTAAAAAGTGTTGATAAGTCTGACCAAGTGAACCTGTCAACTCTATCAAAGTCGTTTCCCATTTCGTCTCATCTGGTCGAAGTATTTAACAAGCACAGTGAACTTTTCAGAACTTATTACAGACTAAAGTGCCTGCGATGAGGAGAGCACTCGTGCCCTCCTCTGGGAGATGCCAGGCAGAAAGGCAGTGATGTGYTCATGTGAGAATGTTAACAGCCAACTTGTTTGGAGACACTCTTATCTAAATGAAATTGGAACAAGGACAGCGAAACATTCCTTTATATAATTTGCATTTGGAAAAAGGGACCCTAGGCTCATTATTTAAGAAAGTGTAAGCTCCTTTTGTGCCAAATCTCATTAAAGCCATCCCCAGCTCCTTTGTTTACTGCCTCTAATCGAGGCATTTATCTTTATTGTGTTGTGCCGATGTATGTTTGCTGAAATTAATACACATTTGAGCCTGAGCGAGGTATGGGTGTACCAGATGGATAATTGATTTTAAAGTGAATCAGAGCTGTTGAGCCATAAAATAGGTACATTAGCATGCATATTAATAAGGCAAATAAGAGCACTAAGAGGCCGCCACAAGGCCAGATACAGTAGCAGGCTTCATTAAGTCAAACAGCAAGTTATTCCCTGCTTTCTCCTTCTTTCACAATTTACTCCCAGTCTTGTTTCTGTTGGTTTGGACACACGAACCATTTTCTAAAAGAAAAGATGCTTGCCTGGATCACAAAGCCTTGTCGCATCACTGCATTGCTTTCTCTCCTGCATACAGCTGGCTGCAAATTCTGGCATTTAGTTATGTGAAACTASCTCTAAAGCAGGGCATCAGACAAAGAAATTGTTTTGTTTTGTATTTTTTTCTTCTTTTTTTTTTTCTTTTTTTTTCCTCATTTCAGAAAATGTTGAACTACGGAGGAGCTGGGGTATCTAAGCCAACAATTTCAGCTTGGCATTTATTTTGTTGACAGTAAGACAGTATCAAACATATAATATCCAATACTTTGCTGCCTGTGATAGCTTTTCATTGTACCATATCACAGTTCTTTTCAGACCAAACAAACAATGAGAGGTTTTGTGAGAGCTATCCATCTGTAGCTTCCTAGTGATGACTTCTCATCAACACATGATGAGAACCRTTATTTTTTTATTTTTTTATTTTTTTTCTCTCAGGCGCAGCCTCTGTCCTACTTCATCCAAACCAGGTTAAGGTTCCCCTCACCGCCTCTCGGAGTTGAATTTCGTTTTGTCTGCGAGAGAGGCTCTGGCTGAGGCATTTTCCCATTGGGTCAGGAATAAATTGAACTTTTTCATGGACAGCAAACACTGATTAGATATTTATGACCAAGGTCAACCTTTCTGATTCCAGCTGGCACAGRCTACAGAGCATACAGAACAGAGCATCTACACACATCTTCGTACTCCAACCTGCACACCCCCTGCATAGATCCACAAGAATACACAGGCATGCAAAAACATATTTGGCATGCATTCAGAGACACCTTCATGTTGAAAACCTATGCACRCTAGTTCTGACTAGACTTCTCAAACAGTAGAGCTTTGCATCATATGTATTGCAACGTTTTTTAGTAAKTTAATGTTTGTTAGTTAATATCGTCTGAAACAAGCAGACGATAATCTTAAAAAAATCTGTAAAATGCCATCATTGTTTTTTTTTTGTACCTTATTACATTTAGCAGYGAGAGAAGAAAAATTTTAAGTTGTCTCATACTAAAGCTTTAAAATATAATTTGAACCAATTAAAAATCATTAGTATAAATATTATAGGTTGTATTATAGTGAATAAAAAGAATAATGTATTAGCATGAAATCATTTTGGGGGATTAGATTGTCTTCTGGTGATATAMAAGGATTCAGAGGATCTGTAGAAATCTTTTGTGCATAGAAGATAGCTGAAGACTAATATAATGTGGTTGTAATATTCTAGAATTCAGATATTATAAACAAACATTATTCTTATTTTTATTCTTATTTTTAAAACGTTATTGGCACACAGCTCCAAAGAAACACGCTGCTTATCTGTAAAGGCACCAAATCACATTTTGTACATATTACAAGAGCATTTCTTTGTATTAAAAAAGCAGAGACATTTTTAACAGTGAAAATCCAAAAGAAGCTGCGAAAATCCTCTCAATCTTTAATACTGCACAGTTTGCTGAGTAGTTAAGTGTTTTTACCCACCTTTTTTATTATATATATAATTTATACTTCATGGATCAAATGGAATAGGCCTTCAGGCTGCCAAGTACTGGTCATGTGTCTAAATTTTCTTAAACATTTTCATTTGAAACTTACTTTGCAACTTGCACACTGTTTGCTTTGTCTAAATTASAGGTGCACAATAAATTAGATTTACTTAATTTTGGGTGACTGGTGACTGGCCGATACTTAACGAGARGCCGATCTTGTCCACTGATCTTACCTACCGCCACAAAGCTCTGACAATCAGCCGCTGTCCCCTTTTGCTCTGCTGTGAGAGAGGGATGGTGTCCAGTTAAAACATGTGTGTATTGTTGCAAGAGGATTGCTCAATATTTTTAAATAACATAAAATTGGAACATTGGAGGTGTATTGTGACCTTATAACACCTGACAGTGTCAGTTATATAAAAGAAAACCGGTATTGTTCAAAATCAGCAGGTCCAACTTTTCAAAGATTGATCAGCCAGAAAACTGCAATTAGTGCTTCCCTAGTCTAAATTMTATTATTGTTTTAGACCAGGGTCATTAATAGCACTGTTTTTATTGKGCAGAAATTGAAATGATAATGTCATTCCAATGACTTCATTGGCTAAGGAAAATAAAACAAGTTCTCTGGGGTCATTGCTGTGGTAATTTACAAAAAATAATCACAAAATATGGGCTCATGAATACATACCTAACCTAAAGRATTTTCCCCTCAATACCTTAATCAAGACACACGGCTATCAGCAATAATAACTATAACAGGTAAAACAAATGATAATCGAAATAGAATGTTGTTTCATATTATATTAACTTTGATGGTGCTCTGGTTGTTGCAGACTCGCACTCCCGCTCACTCACCCTTTGACTTCTCTCGTTTTTTAATTTTTTTTAATTTTCCTAATTCTGATGCCGACTCCCTTACATCGTTTCTCAATATGTTGCCCACAGCTGCTTCTGTCTGAAAACTGTCCAGCTAATTAACTGGTTGGTCTGTGGTTGTAATAAGAATCATGAGAGCAGATGAACAATACATCTGCTACTTTTAAATATTTCTAATGACACCAGATCCCCCGTTGGTCCCTTTAGAACACCTCACCCATCTAGGGAGTTCCAGACAAAAACAATAACTTTTGCTTACAGAAAACACTGTTAAATTACATTTTTAGTTTAGTTTGGTGTTGCCAATATATGAGGTCAATGAACCCTATCAAACAAGTTCCATGTTCTTGATTGTAGCAATTTTAGTGGCTATTCCAGTTAAAATATTTCAAAAAGACTGAACGTTTTGCAGCACAGCATTGGTTATCAATGTTGCCTCACAAAAGGTTCATCTCATTCTCCCTTTGTCTTTCTGTGTAGAGTTTGCATGTTTCCTCATGCATGTGTGGGTTTTCTCCAGGTACTCTGGTTTCCTCCCACAGACCAAAACATGCATATTCCATTGATTGGTAGCCCTAAATTGTCCCCTGGTGTGAGTGAGAGTGTGATTTTTATTTATTTTTTGTCTTGTTTGTCTCCAAGTCTTTGTGATGGCCCTACAACCATCTCTCGTGAACAAGACTCACAGATACTTAAACTCCTACGCCTGAGGCAGAGAGTCATTCCTAACTTGACAGGGGCAATCCACCTTTTCCCAGTAAAGAACCGTGACCCCAGACTAAGAGGAGCTGACTCCCATCCAGCCGCCTCAGTGCACACTGAAGGTCATGGCCTGAAGACGCCAACAAAACCACATCATCTTCAAAAAAGCAGAGACAAGACCCTGGGGTTACCAAACATGATACCCACCTCCCTTTCCCTGTAACTGCACCTTTAGAGCTTGTACTTGAACACCACAAACAGGATCAGAGACCTGAGGCAGCCCTGGTGGAGTCCAACCCATATTGAGAATCATAACCAGCTCTTACTTTGGTTATACATGACTGGATGACTAAAGTAAGATTCACCACAGGATCCTACAGAAGAGATTAAAGTTCCTATGACTCTTTTAGCAGCTCGTTTAAACTGATTTAATCCACTGTTAAACCATCATGTGAGGATGTGTGTTTTTGTTGTTCTGTGTTTTCCCTGTGTCTCCACCTTTCAGTTCTCCTCAGCTGTTTCTAGGTCATTCTCTGTTTATCATCCTCACCTGTCTGCAATCACTAATCAGTCTTACTCCTAGGTGTTTGTCATTTCCTTTCTCCCTCTGTTTGTTTAAATACTGGTCTTGTCCTTCATATCCTTGCTGGTTCATTGTTTGGTTTCTTCACCAATAGTTATGGTTTCCTTCGTTGTCGCCTTGTCGTACTTTAAGCTTTTTGTTTATTTAGCTGCCCTGCCAGCTTTTTGTTTTATTTTTGTTCAAAGAAATATTTTTCTTAAAAACTCCTACCTCTGTCTGGATTTGGGTTCATTCCTTATCCAACATTAACACATCAGGATGAACTGCTCCTCCTGAATCTGAAGTTTCACAATTCCAATCTTCCAACACCCTGAAGTAAACTTTTCCACCCACAAAATTTACCAGTTATCAATACGATTTTTTTTAAATCTTGTAGAATTAAAGGGCGTCTGTGGCGGAGTGGTTAGGGGAGTCGTCCTGGAACCGGAAGGTCACTTGTTCGATCCCCCGTCCAACCTTCTCAGTCGTTGTGTCCTTGGGCAAGACACTTCACCCACCTTGCCCACTTCTGGTGGTCAGAGGGTCCGGTTGCGCCGGTGCATGGCAGCCTCGCTTCTGTCAGTGTGCCCCAGGGCAGCTGTGGCTACAGTGTAGTTTGCCATCATCAGTGTGTGAATGTGAGTGTGAATGTCTGTTAGTGTAAAGCACTTTGGGGTCTGGAGGGACTTGAAAAGCTCTCTATAAGTTCAGTACCATTTACCATTTAAAGCAGTCTGTAATATTCTAATTTGAAATAATCATATCTTCCCCTCTTTAGAAATGTGCATTCTAAAAATTAAATGTTGGATTTACTTAACCATGTTATGTCAACTGGTTACACTTAACTGAGTTGAGTAAATTCATGTTATTTGGTTAAAAAAACTGGTATATTGCTTTGAATTTACTCAACTCAGTTGAGTGGAACAAGTTGACATAACATTAAGTAAATCCAACGTTWCATTTTTACAGTGCTATTAGAGTGAAGGCTTCATAGTTTTCATTGGATGTTTCGAAAACAATTCATTGATTTAATTAATTACTGTCATATCTGACAGGAATCCTGGAACAAAGTCCTTTAGAAGAATAGCTAACACAGCTGCGGATGATGGCCATTGGTGAAGACAGCTACTTGTTAAATYGAATGTTTTTCAGGCAATAAGATTTAAGGCAATGTGTGTATATACGTATACAGGCTGTGAATATATCACTTTTACTGGGTTTGAAGAATGCAATMAAAATATCTCCTACAAACAAGACAAGCAAAGAAAGCTTTAGAATATGAGTCCAAAATCAGTATGTCTCATGTTACTTAGTTCWCTTTTTCTCTGTTTAATAATTTTTCTTTTTATCAAAGGTTACCCTAACATTGTGGCAACGTATGGTCGAGGATACACTGGATTCGCACCCAGCTACAGCTACCAGTTCCCTGGTGAGTTAAACGCTTTCCTAAAATATATGTTTCTCCTGATTTCTGTTTTGCATTCTCAAGCAGCACAATCAGGCACACAATATGGGAACACAAACACACACACGCACGCATTTGAAACCAAATATATAAATCTTCATCAACTTACACGTCAGTCACCAAATAATCTGCTGGGTTATAAATGTGCGACGTGTCGAGATTTTTTAACAAGGTTTTGAAAGCTGACGCGCAGTGAAGTAAATTGCTTATTCCTTTTTATCCCGTACTCGAACACTACCATGACCAAATGTCTGAAATGGGGGAAGTTCTTCTTCTTCCTCTTCCTCTTTTTCTTCTTCAGTGGCCCAATGTATGCAAATTCATCTGTGGAGAAGCGGAAAAACGAGCTGCTCTTTGTGTAGGCAGATTTTGAAATTTGGTGCTTATAATGGAAAATAAAGTCATTTTCTGCATTAAAAGTGTTGACTCAGAGTGCCTGGCACTTTAATGGAGGTCCAAATGGGTGGCGTGAAGTCTGGAGGTGAGCAGCTGGACCTGCTTGCTTGCATGAGGGCCGCTGGCTCTGGTTCTTCACTTGGGCGTCCTGTCAATTTCATGCTTTATTTAGGAACCTTACTCTTACTTTGTTTGCCATGCCAGACATCATTCTGCCCACTGATAAGACGGAATGGGAAATATCGTACAGCAGCTCAAATCTCTGTAATATCTTTGAGAAATAGATTCAGAAATGGCAGGATGGGGGGTCCAGCTGTGACCACCTGCATGTCAGGCATATGTTAGTTGTATACTTGACCACAGCATCATTTAACAGAATATGATGAATGCACCACACGGTACACAACAATGAGGATTGTATGATGGATCAGAGCTGTCATATTTATTATTCCCTCTTTTGTGTGTTTAAAAAACTGCATAATTTAATAACTAATGACTAATGACAGAGATGACTTTAGTCAGAGAAGACGTTTGTCTTTGTGTCCTCAAATATCCTTTATGAGCAGTGTTCACATTCAACCACTGAAGCTAATTCAAGTCATTTCACACAGATTAGAACTAAATTAACTTTTGTTCATAATTTACCACCAAAAKATTTTGAAACTGTTTCTTATCAACTTTAAACTAAATAAAAATGACTAATAAACATGTAAGAGGTTTGTGGATTATGTTGTGTTGAATTTGCCCACTAATTGTGTAATCACAAAGRTATAAARYRTCCATCCATCCATTATCTTCCGCTTTATCCAAAGTCGGGTCACGGGGGCAGCAGTTTGAGCAGGGAAACCCAGACCTCCCTTTCCCCAGCCTTTGTACTTTGTGTAACGTAACAAAGTACAAATTCTTCTGCTTAATACTTAAGTAGAAATTTAGATTATCGATACGTTACTTGATTAATTATTTTTTCAACCAAATTTTTACATCTCCTTCTTATATTTTCACACAATTATCTGTACTTTCTACTCTTTCCCTTTTTAAAGAACTGAAGAAATAGGATGTTATTGCTCCCATTTCATTTTGGTTTGTTATAATTACAGCTTGTTATTGTAAGATAAAGATGCCAGATAGATAGAGTGAATTTAATTGTGATTGGATGAAAATATAAAAACATACCATTCTTGGTTTATACGATTCAGCACAACTGTACATGACACAAATCACATCAAACTCCAGCAGGACAGATCAGACATACTGTATGTAGCCTTGTTTGAGAGATAAATGCAGCTGAAACAGGTAGACAAATATATCCTATATTTGTTAACATTAACATTTTAATAGAGCATTATAGTCATTATGACCTTTAGAAAAGTGTCACCTCCTTTTGGAAATTCTAACTGCTCACTTTTACTCAATACTTTTACTTTTAATGTGTAAGTACTTTTTATATCAGATATGTACTTTTGATACTTAAGTACAATAAATGTCACATACTTTAAGACTTTTACTCAAGTAATATACTGTACTTAGAGACGACTTGAACTTTTACCAAAGTAATTTTATGGTAAGGTACTTTTACTTTTACTTAAATATCACTTTGATGTACTTTATACAAGACTGATTTTTAGTTGGCTTTGCTAGCATATTTAGATAATTGTTTTTCTCTTATTCACTGTGTCCACATCAAGATTCATCAGCTCATCATGACTGTATTTTAATTTATAAATTATTGCAAAGCACTTGAAGGTTGATTCTTTAAAAAAAAATAAATCCTGATTTTGCTTAACACCTCAGCTGACAAAATGTTCACTAAAATAAATAAAATATGAAGTCTGCTGATATTTCAGCTGTACTTACATATGTATACAGTCAGAGGAAAAAAACAGTAACATCAAAGTATTTCTTAAATTGCAACTTGTTTGTTTATTTTTTTGCAGGTCTTTACCACCTGCTAGCTCTGTCTGTGGCTGAAGCTTAGAGTTTGTTCAGATCACTTTTTGTAATTTGGATCCTGGTCTCAGCAAGGGTGCGTGCTATACCTGGGGTGCAAACACACCCCCATGTGAGCTTTCACTTTTGCTGTTTTAGTCACGGACCTTCAATTTTTGCAGTAAAGTTGAAAGCAAGTGGGAAAAAAAGCAAATATTTTAAAAATAACAGGTACACAAGTGTGCTTGTAGCATCTTGCCTTCACAGCAGACATCAGCCACATTACAGCAGGCTTATTCAGCAAGAGGTAGCTCAAGTTTGACCTAAAAGCAGAACAGCAGCCATTGTTTCGTAAAAAGAATGTCATTTATTGTCGCCGCGCTCAGTCCAAGTTCCTCGAACCAGTCTTGGTAAGTTCAAAGTTCCCAGAAAATTTGAATGCCACTCAYGGACACGCTCATTTGAATGCATTCGTGCACAACGCTGCTAATGAGATATAGGAATTTGCTGACGTGAATATTTATTAGTCCCCCATAATTCTCATGTATGGCTTTTTTAAAAGGATCAGCAAGACTGCAAAGAGTAAGACGAGAAGGGAAAGGAGTGATGAGTATTCCATACAAGTAGTTAAACATGGATTCCTAAAATGTTGACTATTTACAACAAATTAAGGCATATCACCTTCCCTGAGGCAGAATGTATGATCCTATCCATGTTAAACTCAATTTAAAGAGTTAGATAAAGCTGAATGATTAAAACAGCTCCTCAGGGCTTGCTCAACTCTTGACAGGTAATTGGAAATTTTAATGTATGAATCAAACTCCTTGTCTAAATTAAATAACCTGAGGCCAAATATTGACTAGTTTCTTTCCTTAGGAAGATGCGATACGCACCCTCGGTTTTAGATCAAAAGCCTGCTCTCACTGTACACTGCCTTGCTGAAACACTCGTATATAAACGGAGTCGAGACCAGGCAAGCGACATCCAGGAGACATAAATTGTGGGCAGCCTTTCAAAGTTTTTTTTTTACACCCTGTAAACCTCAGGAGTACTCTTTTATCAGGAACAAAAGTGGTTAGGCAATTGTTCAATTGTCAAGATAAAACAGTGATAAAACATTGATCAGTGATGAAACACTGAATTAAGTACAAAAACTCAATACAACCTACACAGAGAAAGAGAAATCAAAGCTGACATCTCCGCAGCCTAAAAAGGCTTCAAGTGTACAAAACAGAAGCTAAAACAGAGCAGAAATACATTCAAGTAAAGAACAGATAAAATGCGGTAGTCATTGCAGTTACATAAAGCAGCTCAAAAACAATGAACAAAAATGCCATTTATTTTTCAATGGAAGCACAAAATGTATCTTATCATAAACATATATAGTTAGTTTTTCTCAGGATTTATTAGAATCAGACGATAAAGGTAATTACAATTTCATTCACTTGAGGCTTTGCCTTGCTGTATTATCAATACAGTTTGTTGTTCAAATCATGTCTTAAAAACAAGTTTAACCCGTCAGATTAGATGGTAGTGTAAAAATAAGCTGAGGCATTGCCCAAGACTCGAGCATTTATTAATGTTTTAATGAGTTCCTTTAAACTTTTATGTGGTAAGTCCTGCTGAACGCTGTCAACAGATGCAGCTCTGCCAGACATAAATGTTAGCTGTGCCGTGGTTTTATATTTTTTATGAAATGCAAGGAAAGTCATATCAATTTAAACGCCTAGCATTTCTAGAAGGAATGCATATTGTGCACCACCTTTTATGCCAGAGCATCAAAATAAGATCGTATGACGACGTGTGACCTGGTTAAACCTTATAAATGCCAGTTTGTGTTGTCTCTCATGTCATATTGTGAGATGTTGAAGAGTCTGTTAATATGCACAGTATATGTTAAGGATGGTGCTCAGCAAAAAAACACATTAAACTCTAATTATTAGTTTATTTGACTGAGTTATAACCATTTTTGTGTTGGCTGAGGTTGATTAGCTGTGATTATGTTGCATGTCGATTTGGGCTGACTAAATGTGATCCTGGGAGTTTCATTCAGATCTGTTTTAGATATTTTAGATATCATCTACTTACCACATCTCTTACTTTTACTTTTAATAATATTTCTGTATTATTTATTTCACATTTAGTCAGTCGTACACATAGTAATTTTCAGTGCTCTTGAGAGGATGTGTTAAAATGCTGTTTCTCTGCAGGAAAAACCAGCTAAAGCTCAGTTATTGTTTGTTAGCGGTGCTCAGCCATAGCAATGAGACGAGAAATGTAACGTTTCATGTTTAGTCAAAGATAAACATGAAACATTGACATTAATTACAACTGACCCTTTAAGGCCCACCATAATTCTCGTGCCCTTCGCTGTAAATGAGTTTGACACCCCTGATCTAAATGTTTAAAAATAAACTTTTAGGCAAATGTGATGTTGATAAAATGTTTTTTATGAATTGCTTGTGTTGAAAACCCATTTAAGTTGTCAGAATTACAGACTGGTAAATAAGATTTTCTGCCTCAAAAATGAAAAAACACTTTTGGATTTTAAAAAATTTCTGCAAACATTTCAGTTTGACAGACACTGAAATAAGTAACAACTATTCTTGTGTCAGATACAAGGTCACTTTGATAAAGCCCTA